TCTTTCCCTGACTGACGTGTTTCTAAGACCTGTTCCTGTTGGATGATGTCTGCCTCCCAGATCAAACACTACTCTCTTTGGCCAAACTTTCCAACGGTTGCTCCTGCCAGCCCAGTGTTCTCGCGTTAACCACGGTCACACCAGACCTGCTGGAGACATTTTCAAGTAGCAGCGACGCTACCTGATAACTCTCACTGGATCCCGTTTTTATCCATGGGCTAAAGTTGCTGTTGATAAGAAGTAATTTCCAGCCAAGCTTTCCCTGGACACTGGCGCAGAGCGAATGTCCCTGTTATCGAGCAGCGTTCTTGCAGGCTGAAGGGCGGCACGCAGTGACGCCTGCCCATCATTCTGGGGCTGTGTAAGCATTTGCTTAATGCCCTGCTCCGCTAAACATCATCGCTGCGCCGGTTTGATGTCGTTTGTCCTTGGTTATTGGAGGAAGACAGCGATGGCGATGAAAAAGCAATGAGAATGGCCACACCAAATGAGAAACACTGAGGATTCAGTCTCACAGGTGAAGCAAGAATCATAGAATCATAGGTTGGAAAAGACCTCTAAGATCATCAAGTCCAACCGTCACCCCAACACCACCATGCCTGCTAAACCATGTCCCCAAGTGCCACATCCACACAATTTTTGAACCCCTCCAGGGATGGGGACTCCACCACTGCCCTGGGCAGCCTGGTCCAATGCCTGACCACTCTTTCAGTGAAGACATTTTTCCTGATGTCCAATCTGAACCTCCCCTGACACAACTTGAGGCCATCTCCTCTGTCCTATCACTGGTTACTTGGGAACAGAGACCAACCCCCACCTCACTACACCCTCCTGTCAGGGAGCTGTAGAGAGCGAGAAGGTCCCCCCTCAGCCTCCTCTTCTCCAGACTGAGCAGCCCCAGCTCCCTCAGCCGCTCCTCATCAGACTTGTTCTCCAGACCCCTCCCCAGCCTCGCTGCCCTTCTCTGGACACGCTCCAGCCCCTCAGTGTCCTTCTGGTAGTGAGGGGCCCAAAAGAAGCAACTGAGTTTGTCAAACAGCAAAGAAGTTTTTTCCCATGAAAACTAGCATTAGCAGAGGGGGAATGAATGCAGGAACTAAAGAAACAGAAACCATTAGGACAGGCAGAGAACGTGTGTGTGATGTGCAGGAGAGGCAGAGGAGGATTTTTCCAGCTTTGTCACCAGGAGGAAATGCGGCTTTTTCTCCCTTGGTTTTTTTTTTTTCCAGGGGGCAAACGTTCGCTCGGCAGCATACCTGGCAGATGGTTGCTTCACCACTCATCGTTAGTAAAATCTGTCAAGGCAATGCTTTCTGAATCTGTTTTTCCCTAGCAAGGCTTGGTCTTTTCTGGGATGGACTTCAGATAGCTGAGATCACTCCTGGGTAATGGGGCTGCAGGTCAGAGAAAGACTTGCTGACGGCATCTCTCCTTCTCTGGAGATGTTCAAACCCTGCCTGGACGCAGTCCGGGGCAGCCTGCTCTGGGTGACCCTGCTTCGGCAGGGGGTTGGGCTGGGTGACCCACAGAGGTCCCTGCCAACCCCGAGCATTCTGTGATTCTGTGGATGCAGGTTAACCTATTCTCATCTCTTTCTTTCCTTCACGTAGGTCCTCAAACGCCAAGGTTACGATGCAGCCTGTGACATCTGGAGCTTGGGGATCCTGCTGTACACCATGTTGGCAGGGTGAGTGGAGAAGTTTTCCTCGAGCAGCAGTCTCCAGTGAGCTCAGCACGTGAGCGCTGATGGAGCCAGAAAGGAGTCCCGGGCAGAGGCAGCGAGCTGCCTGGCCTCCTGTGGGAAGCGTGCTCAGCTGCACGAGGCGAGAAGATAGATGCCAAGACCTAGAATTAGAATCCGTTTTTCCACAATGGGTAAATGTCTTTGGCACTTGACAAGTTCTTTAGGTGTTTAGCAGCCCGTGCCCGTAAGCGTGCACCGAGAACTGGGCTCCTACAAGGCTCTCACACCGCTTCAGCAGGGGGAACGTCCTGCGCTGGGAGAGGGGTGCAGGAGTATCAAGAACCAGGTCATGTTCACCTTGTCCATAAGAGTGAATGATATCATTCACTTTCGTTCTTTTAACACATGTATTCTTTCTTTCATTCTTTTCTTTTAATACATGTATGAAAAGAAAATTTTAATTCATTCTTTTCTTTTCATACATGTATTCTCTTCAGCTTCTTTCCTCTCCTGCTGTTTTTGTTATTGAGGTATCTGAGCACCCTTAAAGGTTAAAAAACCCAAACAAACCAGACATAGTTTCCAGATGCTATTTGAGAAATATGCTGCAGAAAGGACAGAAAGTCAATGAACAGACCAGCAAGAGCAGCAGCAGGCAGCAGGAACTTTTAGGGGGTGCTTGGCAAAAAAAACCCAACCCTGCCAACGTGTTGGCTAAAGTTAAATACTGACACAAGGAGACCCAGAGAAAGAGAGAGACTGAAATAGGCAGTGAAGGGCAGGAATGAGGTGCACCAGGGTGAACAGGAAACAGTGCGCAAAACCAGCCTGGAGTTACCAGGCTCCTGAATTTCCTTTCTCGTGCTGCCTGCAGGGGATGGTGTGTGCACATTTAGGCACATTTCTCATACCTAAGGGCAGCTTGAAACGTTTCGGTGACCTCTCAGAGCTCTTCAGTCTGCTTCATGATCATTCAGCTGTGCAAGGAGCTTGGATTCGTTCCTGGATTTATACAGAAAACAACGAGTTGGACCCTACCTTTCTGTTCTTCGTGTCTCTTGCCTCATGGATTATAGAAAGGTGCCAGGAGTTTCTATCCCATCTGTGTTGTTCCTGGGCACAAATGTGTTCACCATTAGCTGACACATACTGTGACTTTCTGGGGCAGGCTCCCAGCCTGCTGGGATCTCCAGAAACCTGCTTCCCTTTGGCTGGTGCTGTAGATTTGCAGTGATCCACAACCAGAATCCGTACACCGAAATCAATACCTTACCCGCAGTCACGTTTGTTTAGCTGATTATATTCAAAATGCTGCTTTTTCAAATGCGAAAAAAAAAATCCAAATATATTTGAATCTGAAATACCAGTTGCACAAGTTAGTGGACATTAAATTTGCCAAGAGGTGCTATTAACTTGTATCTCACTTTTTTGCTGCACTTAGAAGCGAAAATAAGAGTAGCGCAAGCAGTTGAGAAGTGCTGGCTTCTGAGGTGCCACCGCTGCCTTTGGGGATGGTCTTGTTCTCCCTCACCAGAGGAGAGTTAGTAGGAAGTGACTCTTAATTGCAACCAGGATTTTACTCTCCTCCCACCCTCGCGATGAGCAGAGCGGGCTCGGCCGGCCAGGACCAGAGCACGAGCCTGGGATCACAGAATGACAGAATCACAGAATAGTAGGGGTTGGAAGGGCCCTCTGTGGGTCACCCAATCCAACCCTCCTGCCAAAGCAGGGTCACCCACAGCAGGCTGCACAGGACCTTGTCCAGGGGGGCGCTGAATATCTCCAGAGAAGGAGACTCCACAACCTCCCTGGGCAGCCTGGGCCAGGGCTCCGTCACCCTCAGAGGGAAGAAGTTCTTCCTCCTGTTCAGACGGAACTTCCTGTGCCTCAGTTTGTGCCCATTGCCCCTTGTCCTGTCACTGGGCACCACTGAAAAGAGCTTGGCCCCATCCTCCTGACACCCACCCTGCAGCTATTTATAAGCATTTCTAAGGTCCCCTCGCAGCCTTCTCTTCTTCAGGCTGAACAAGCCCAGCTCCCTCAGCCTCTCCTCGTAGGGGAGATGTTCCAGTCCCCTCATCATCCTCGCAGCCCTCCGCTGGACCCTCTCCAGTAGCTCTTCATCTTTCTTGAACTGGGGAGCCCAGAACTGGACACAGTACTCTAGATGAGGCCTCACCAGGGCAGAGTAGAGGGGAAGGAGAACCTCCCTCGTCCTGCTGGCCACACTCTTCTGATCTGTTGACGCAGGGAGTGACAGACTGTGGAGCCTTCACCAATCCTTGGCATCTTCGTGCATCCCTCTGGACAGTCAGAGATGGCAATAACAGTACGTGTTTCTTTGGGCTGAACTCCTGTGAAAGCTGACGTGGTTTTGAACATTAGAAAATGCAGCACGAGGAATCGAACGTGCTATTAGAAACCTGGTGGGATTGGAACCTGCGGCCAAGCCAACTGTTCAGCAACCTGAAAACCCAGCTGGCAAGTTTTCGGGAGAGAAAAGATAGATGGAAGGGAAAGGATAAAAATCCCAGGTACCTCCTTCTGCTAAACCGACACAGCTGCTCCAGATTGCCGGGTACAATTTGGCCTGGTAGATGTTAGTCAGCTGCAGATATCTCATGGCTTGTCCCTCGCTGAAGACAAAAACCATGTCCCCTGCGCGTGGCACGAAGCCTGGGGTGTGTGACCAGGGATTTCTTGCTGGCTGGACCGGGAAGATTTTAAATAACCTGTGGCAGATCATTGGTTTTGCCCAACAAACTGCACGTGATGGTTAACAAAGCATGGCGAAATAGATGATAAAGAGCAAATTTGCCTTCTCCTTTTTTCTGCTGCAGATCCTAATTTTTTTCCTTTATTATTTTTATCCTTTCTTGCCATTATCAAGGTGCTTCTGTTGGCACTAAAGCGTTAAAACTATTAAAGAGGTAAAAACCTGTCTATTTTTTAAAAAGAACACTTCATTCCTTAAAAATGAGAACAGAGCAAAACTTTTAAAAAACAATTAGGAAATCAATCTTTTTCTCTTGAGAACAACTTACTGTGAGGAGCCACCGGACTGGATGGTTTGAGTGAAAACGAAGCAGCGATGTCTGTGGTCCGTTCGGGAACTAAATTCCTGTTGTAGTCGGTGGCAGTTAGCACTAGATCCTGGCAATCATATACTTGCAAATTACGTTGTATTTTTTTTTTCTCTTTTTTTAAATAGGTTCACTCCTTTTGCAAACGGACCGGACGACACCCCAGAGGAGATTCTGGCCAGGATTGGCAGCGGCAAATATGCACTGACAGGAGGAAACTGGGATTCAGTGTCTGATACTGCCAAGGTCAGTGAACGCTTCCTCAGGTTTTTCTCTTGCTCTCTGGAACAGGCCAGCAGTCGGGAATTGTGGCAAACTTAGAGAATCACAGAATCACAGAACGGTGGGGGTTGGCAGGGACCTCTGTGGGTCACCCAGCCCAACCCCTGACGAAGCAGGGTCACCCAGAGCAGGCTGCACAGGACCTTGTCCAGGTGGGGCTGGAATATCTCCAGAGAAGGAGACTCCACAGCCCCTCTGGGCAGCCTGGGCCAGGGCTCTGTCACCCTCAGAGGGAAGAAGTTCTTCCTCCTGTTCAGCTGGAACTTCCTCTGCTTCAGTTTGTGCCCGTTGCCCCTTGTCCTGTCGCTGGGCACCACTGGAAAGAGTCTGGCCCCGTCCTCCTGACACCCACCCTGCAGATATTTAGAGGCATTTCTAAGGTCCCCTTGCAGCCTTCTCTTCTCCAGGCTGAACAAGCCCAGCTCCCTCAGCCTCTCCTCGTAGGAGAGATGTTCCAGTCCCCTCCTCATCCTCGTAGCCCTCTGCTGGACTCTCTCCAGTAGCTCCTCAGCTTTCTCCAGTAGCTCCTCAGTCGGAAGGTTTATTTCTCAGTGCCTCGTGAAATAAAAGATTCCTTCTTTATGTTTCTGTCATTCCACGTGTAATATCGTGTGAAATAGCGTGTCGAGAATTTTGGTAGTTTATTTCGTTCAACTAAAGCATAATATGGCACCATCAATTGTGAATGATCTTCAGGTTTAAATAGCACGGAACTCTTTTTGGGTGCAACTGAGCTTTTAAAAGAAGTGTAGGGTAGTCAGTGCCACAAATTCATGGTCTACAGGTGAATCACCTTTATGCTCCTCGAAGCTGGCCAGGAGCAGGCAGTTCACCAACCAGCTTTTTCACCTCCTGTGCAGTTCATGGTTTAGTCTGCCCGTCTATCACAAAGCACTGCAACCCCAGGAGATAAAATTCACCCGGCGCTGAGGCTTTCGGGCACGAAGCAGTGCACTGGTCTGTGAGATAGGTAGAAGGCTGGAGAGCTTCCAGTTGCCTGGCGTTAATCAGAAACCCGTAGAGGATTTAGAGATTCCTGGAAGAGATTTCAGTTTTAGCAACTGGTAGTATCCAGTGGAAGACCACTGATGTTTCCCACCGCAAAACTGCAAGCAATCCCAGTAACGTATTCATCTCGCTACCAGCACCTGAGGAGCCTCACAATTTTTTTATCAGATGTCCGGTTTTGGAATTAAAACGTTCAGACATGGTGGAACTGATCTTATTGAGTTTTAGCCACCTGAATGTTAGATTTCTATTCCAAGCATCTCTTGTAAGCGTGCTTTGGAGTCCATGAGGAGATACTTCCAGACGGCATCCTCTCTAGGTGGAGTTTCTATCACCCCTGTGAGGTCAGCAGTAACTAAAACTCAATAAGCCAAATGTCCTCCACATTATCTTTTGATTATCAACTGAGGGTTGAACATTACTCTTGAAAATTTTGAAGATCAGACTTTACACCTGAAAAATATAAAGCATATCTGCAGTGCATCCCTCTCTCCATGGGGCATGCTGGTGCTCAGCCTGAAGAAGAGAAGGCTGCGAGGGGACCTTATAAATGCCTACAAATATCTGAAGGGTGGGTGTCCTGTGCAGCCTACTGTAGGTGACCCTGTTTCGGCAGGGGGGTTGGACTAGATGACCCACAGAGGTCCCTTCCAACCCCTACTATTCTGTGATTCTGTGATTCTGTGACACTGCCACGGGGAAGATCTGAGTCAAACCTGCACTGCTGTTAATTAATTTTTCCCTTTTACTGTTTTCCTTCTCTTAAACCCAGGACATCGTGTCAAAGATGCTTCACGTGGACCCTCATCAGCGCCTCACGGCCGTCCAAGTCCTGCGGCACCCGTGGATAGTGAACAGGGAGTATCTGTCCCAAAACCAGCTCAGCAGACAAGATGTTCACCTGGTGAAGGTACCTCCTGCCCCCTCCTCCCTTGCAGAACGGGCTGTCGTTCGTGTAAATGGGGAAACCGATGGAGGAACTGGGAAGACTGTTTGCCACAGAGGCCAAATATCATCTGGCACCCTATTAACAGCACAGCTTTCTGACCTGTCACCCACCCAATATTTTTAATGTCCATCTGTGCCGTAATGAGCCGGTGGGACTCTGCGCTCCCCACCGCTTTGAGTCGGGGACACCCCCGCTGCCTGCCAGCCTAAACCTTAGCGTTTCATGCAGGCCATCCACACGTGTCCATTTTCACAGAATCACAGAGCCCCAGCCTGGTCGGGGTTGGAAGGGACCTCTGGGGGTCACCCAGCCCAACCCCCTGCCCAAGCAGGGTCACCCACAGCAGGCTGAGAAGTTCTTCCTCGGGTTCAGCTGGAGCTTCCTCTGCTCCAGTTTGTGCCCGTTGCCCCTTGTCCTGTTGCTGGGCACCACTGGAAAGAGTCTGGCCCCGTCCTACTGACCCCCACCCTGCAGATATTTAGAGGCATTTCTAAGGTCCCCTCTCAGCCTTCTCTTCTCCAGGCTGAACAAGCCCAGCTCCCTCAGCCTCTCCTCGTAGGAGAGATGCTCCAGTCCCCTCCTCATCCTCGTAGCCCTCCGCTGGACTCTCTCCAGTAGCTACTCATCTTTCTTGAACTGGGGAGCCCAGAACCAGACACAGTTTTCTCAGAGAACTGAATAGGGAAGGGGAGGGGAAAAGCATCAAAGAACTGAAATTCAGCCCGGCATGTTCTCCTTCTGCAGAAAAAAAAAATAATAATTCTCTTTTCTCTTTCGCTCCTCCGCGGCGCGCCTGCGGATCTGTAGATTGTGCAAAGGAGGGAACAATTGTTAAGGTCTTAGGACTAAAGGCAGGTCTGAAACTGGCTCAGCGGCGGGGCATGAAAAGACTGACCTCCACCAGGTTGTAGCAGTACCCCCAGCGGGCCCCTCTGAAAACCCAGTTCATCGTTTGAGAGCTTCATCTTCACTCGGCTAGCAGAACGATTGAGGACAACCTGCACGTGGAACCTCCAGAACTAGCAGAAGCCCAGCGCAAGGCCAAGTTCTCCTTCGCTCCGTCGTTTCTTTTACATTCCAGCCAGGATTCCCAGTTTAACGTCACAAAGATGTGCCAATTTTGCCAGTAGCTCTTTTTCCTTCCTGAGAGGAAGCCCAATGAAGTAGGTGCGCTCCATCCTTCCCACCCTAGGAAATACTGGGTTGGAGTCCGTGCGGTGTCCCATGGGAACACCGTTTTCGTTCTCTTTCTCAAGAAAAGCACTTTTCGCTATGAGGAATGCAGTGGGGTTTGAATGTTCTCAGCCGTTCCAGCGTGGGTCGTAATGAAGCGGCTCGGCTGGTCACCAGTAGACATCTACTGATCTCCACTCACCCCAGGAAGAGTGAAGGCTGGAGAGACACGTGA